GAGGCAGCTCACACCTGTAATCTCAGCACCCAGGAGACTGAGGCAGCTTACACCTGTAATCTCAGCACCCAGGAGACTGAGGCAGGAGGATTTCAGTATATTAAGATCATGGAGCCAGGCAGTGTTGGCACACGCCTTTGATCCCAGCACTCGGGAAGCAGAGGCAGGCGGATCTCTGTGAGTTCGAGGCTAGCCTGGACTACCAAGTGAGTTCCAGGAAAGGTGCAAAGCTACACAGAGAAACCCTGTCTCGAAAAACCAAAAAAAAAAAAAAAGATCATGGTGGGGGTACATAGTAAGTTTTATGGGCTAACGGATGAGACCATATCTCAAAAAAACAAAACCCAAAACAAACAAAAAATATTTCTAATTAGCTACCCAAGAAGTACAACACAGAATAAGGTTAAAAAAAAAAAAAGGCACAGTGATCACAAATGAATTGTGCGTGTGTGTGTGTGTGTGTGTGTGTGTGTGTGTGTGTGAGAGAGAGAGAGAGAGAGAGAGAGAGAGAGAGAGAGAGAGAGAGAGATCTGGAAGTCCTGGTGAAGCTCCTTTCTCATGCTCTCCACTGCTTTTGTTTTGGAGCTCACGGATCGGGCTAGCCTGGAAAGTTGTTAAGGTCCAGAGCCCCTCCTTTCCCAGGCATCCTAGTGCTGGGATTACAGGCGTGCTCAGCTAGTGCTGGGATTACAGGCGTGCTCAGCTAGTGCTGGGATTACAGGCGTGCTCAGCTAGTGCTGGGATTACAGGCGTGCTCAGCTTCCCCTGGCTTTTTCTGTGGCTGCTGGTTATCTGAAGAAACTCAAGTCCCTGGGTTCGCCAGGCAAATGCTTTACGGATTCGGCCATCTCCCTAGATGCACAAATTAGCCGTATTTTGAAAAATAGCTTAATTGCAATTTAACTGGCTGCCTAGGAGATGGGTGCTCTCTTGAAGAACGCTTTATCTTCATACAAACTCTCTCTGTCCTTCCGATGGTTTTTTTGTTGCTTTTTCTCACGGGATATGTAGACAACTTATCTTAGTTAGGTTTTCTATTGTTGGGATGAAACGCTATGACCAAAAGCAATTTGGGGAGGAAAGGGTTTCTCTGTAGCTTACAGCTTATAGGCCTTCATCCAGGTAAGTCAGGACAGGAACCTGGAGGCAGGAGCTGATTCAGAGGCCCTGGAGGGTGCTGCTTACTGGCTTGTTCAGCCTGCTTTCCTACAGAACCCAGGACCACCAGCCTAGGCACAGCACCACCCACAGTGGGCTGGGTGCTCTCCCAACAACCACTAATTAAGAAAATGCACCATGGGCCAGACTGGGAGGGGTGTTTTTCAGTTGTGGTACCCTCTTCCCAAATTACGCTACCCTGTGTCAATGTGACATAAAACTAACCAGCACAAAATCATTGTTCAAAGTCAGGTTTGTGATAGTTTAGGTTTTCAATATAGGGAGTTGAATAAACTGGGGGAGGGGGGGGAGCCTGACCATTGCAAAAGTAACTCCGCAGAACAGAATTTAAATTGGGAGGAGTAGCCACAGCTGAAAGGCATCAATCATGTAGCTAAATCAGGAAACAGCTCTGAGACTGAAGCACAGATTCTGAGAGGGGGCTGCCAGCCGGAATGATCCAGACTCCTCTCGGGGGCTGCTATGAGAACACCGTTGGTCTGGTCTGGGAGGGATTTTGTTGTTGTTGGATATTTTGGGATGGCATGGGTAGAGATGCAAGAACGGGTGTTGAAAGATCCGTTTCTTTCTTTTTTAATTTAAATAAAAAAAACAGGTGTTATGGTTGCGTATGTGTTTGATGTGTATGTGTGTTGGGGTGGAGGTCAGAGACAACATGTGTGAGTCTTCAGTTCTGAGTCTTGAGGGTCATCATCAGGATTGGTACCAGGTACTTTGATCTGCGTACCCACCTTCAGCCAGTAGACCCATTTCCATAAAAACAGAGCATGTACGAAACTTGGGAATGAAGCTCATTACTTCGCATGCTGCTTCTTCTTCTTCTTCTGTTTTGTTTGTTTGTTTTTGTGTTTTGGAGACAGGGTTTCTCTATGTAGCCCCGGATGTCCTGGATCTCACTCTGTAGACCAGGCTGGCCTTGAACTCACAGAGATCCGTCTGCCTTTGCCTCCCGAGTGCTGGGATTAAAGGCGTCGCCACTACCGCTCGGCGTATGCTATTTCAAAATATGAAAAGTCCAGTGGCGGTGGTGGCGCACGCCTTTAATCCCAGCACTAGAGAGGCAGAGGCAAATGGGTCTCTGTGAGTTCAAGGCCAGCCTGGTCTATAGAGTGAGTTCCAGGACATCCAGGACTACACAGAGAAAAAACACCTAAAAATGAAAACAAAAGAAAAAGAAAAACTAAAGAGACACACAAAGTAAAGTCTTTTCATTGCGGCGTGTAGCTTTGTCACTTGCACGCGTACAGCTGAGCGTAAGCGAGCCCTGTACAGTCGGAGAGTCTGCCCAGGGAAGTAGGGACTCCAGGAGACCCCGCCCCCGGCATGGCGCCAGGGTAGACTCCTCCATCCTCCGGATTGCCCCAGCTGCGGGGTGGACGTGACCCTTTGGTCCCAATCTCAGTCCCTACCTGTCCCTGCGCTCACCTGGTGGCCTGCTCCGAGGTGGCGGAGGAGATCCAGTCCCCGCCAGGCGCTGGGAGCAGTCGAAGGGTTCCCCGCGGTCCAGGGTGGCCCGGGACCTGGGATCCTGGCGGACCGTCTTCCCCGTGCTCGGGATCCCCGGCAGGATGGGCCACACCGGGCAAGGTTCCAGTCCCAGGGAGCCCTGGCCAGGGCCGCCGAGCCACGTCCTTCCCGTCCCTCACGTGGCTCCCACCCTCCTGCTGCACCCCGGGCACCTCCCCTGCTCCCCGCCCCCGCCCCACTCCGGCCTCCCCAGCCCGCCTTTCCTAACGCGGAGGCCAGGGTACGGCCTCCCGTCGCTAGGAAACGGCTCAGCTGTGGCTCTGACCTCCGCCGGATTTGAAACCCGAGGATGAACGCCAAGCCAGGCTGGTCTCCTGTTGGCGCGGTTCTCAGAAGTCCGCTCCGTCCTCAGCAGAACCGCCCAGCACGCGGGCTGCGCCACATCCATCGCCGCTCTGCATTAGCGAACCCTCCCCGCCGTGAAGATCAGCATCCTCCAGGCCCGGACGTGACCATGATTTCTTTAATTTACACATATATTAATTAATTAATTTTTATCATCATCTCATAATGTAGACATGGCTGTCCTGGAACTTGCTATGTAGATCAGGCTGGCCTGGAACTCACAGAAATCCACCTGCCTCTGCCTTTTGAGTGATAGACTCCAAGGGAGATACCGCTACCTCTCGGCTATTATTATTACTTTAGATTTATTGTTTATTTTTATTTTATGTGTATGAGTGTTTGACTCCCTGTGTCTGTGGGCACCACACGCATGCAGTGCCCACAGACAGAGACGGTAAGGGGAGCCTTCAACCCTGGAGTTACAGATGGCTGAGAGCCAGCATCTGGGTCCTGTGAAGGAGCAGCCTGTGCCCTTAACCGCTGAGCCATCTCTCCAGCCTTTCCTGGTGTCTTTCTAAATCGTTTTCCACCTTTTTATTTACTTACTTATTTATTTTTTACGTGTAGCTACTGTGTGTGATTGAGTGCAAACTCGTGTGTCGCTGCGCCCGTGAACGTCAGGGGACAATTTGCAAAAGTCGGTGGTGGCGCACGCATGTAATCCCAGCACTCGGGAGGCAGAGGCAGGAGGATCTCTGTGAGTTCAAGGCCAGCCTGTCTACAGAGCTAGTCCAGGACAGGCACCAAAACTACACAGAGAAACCCTGTCTCGAAAAACCAAAAAAAAAGTCAAAGTCGGTTCTTTCCTTTAACCAGTGGACCCCTAGGGTTGAAGACAAGCTTCCTCAGTCAGGCTCCACGGCAAGCTCTGTTACACACTGGGCCACCTTGCTAGGCCTCCACCTTACTCCTTGGAGCTGTGTGGTTGAGTTAGGCTGCTGGCAGGCTCCAGGGATCCTCCCGTCTTCCACCCTGTCAGGACTGTGGTCTTTTCACATGTGTGCTGGGGAGCCAAATTCGGGTCCTCAGTCCTGTACAGCAGAGCCCTTCACCTACAGAGCCACGGCCTCAGCTGAGCCACAGCCTCATTTATTTTATTTTGAAACACCACTCACCTTCTGTAGCCCAGGCTGGCCTCAAACATGTCACTCTCCTGCCTCTGTCTTCAGAGCGCTGTGATTTCAGGCTTGTGCCACCATGCCCGGCTGTGTGTGTGTGTGTGCGCGCGCGTGCGAGTGTGTGTGCGTGTGTGCGCGTGCGTGCCTGTGTGTGTATGTGTGTGTGTGTATATGTGTGTGTGTGTATGTGTATGTGTGTGTGTATGTGTGTGTGTGTGTGTGTGCGTGTGCGTGTGCGTGTGCGTGTGTGTGTGTGTGTGTGTGTGTATGTGTGTGTGTGTTTCTAAGGATCCAAAGGGAGCTTGGGCCTGTGGCTCACTCGCTGCCCCCTCCTGTGGTTCTACACCTGGCGATGGAATTGTC